TAGACAGACTGTCTTTTGGCAAAGTTGTTAAGGATATGTCACTTTTATTCTTCAGTCATATTAGATAACTGAGTTGTCATACTTTTTTTATTTTAACCTCCTTTATGTACTTTATTCTTGGAATGAACATTAATCTTTGATTTGTGCTAATAGTTTATAATTGATGTAGTTTACAAAAAGTATCCCCTTTTCAGGCATTTCTTAATGGAGTATGTCTTTAACTATGTGCTACATCTATTTAATTATGGCTTTATTAACTTTGGAATCAATTAATCAAACTTTAATTGGGTGCCTGCCAAGTAGTGGACTCTAAGCTCACTACCTTTTTTGTACTGGTTTGTATTGTAGAAAAGGTGTTTTCATGAAACATGTTTTGGAATATGCTGAATTCAAACAAATAAGACAAGCTTCCAGTTAAGCATAGCAGATTGAGCACCTGTTTAATTCTTTAATTCCTCCCAGAACTCTACTAAAATGACAATAAAGGAATGAAAAGAAAAGAAAAACTTAAAGCCACAAAGACAAGAGAACTGGAGAGAAAGGACAGCAGATAAGAGATGTCCACAGAATAGAAGCTTGAAAGTGATTGTACAAGGTGAATAGTTAACTATCTTAGCAGAAAGCTGAAACCTAAACTTTTCATGAGGAGAATGGAGTTAAGAATCAGATCAGTGCTAAGTGAAATAAGTCAGACAGAGAAAGACAAATACCATATGATTTCACTTATACGTGGCATCTAAAAACAAAAACAAACAAATAAAACAGAAACAGACTCATAAATACTGGAAACAAACTGGTGGTTACCAGAGAGGGGAGGGGCTGGGGGGGTGGGCGAAACAGGTGAAGGGGTTAAGAGCTACAAACTTCCAAGTATAGAATGAATGAGTCAGGGGAATATAATGTACAGTATAGGGAGTTTAGTCAGTAATACTGTAATGCCTTTGTATGGTGACAGATGGTAACTATACTTATTGTGGTAATCATTTTGTAACGTATATAAGTCTCTAATCACTGTGATGTACACCTGAAACTAATAGGATATTGTATGTCAACTGTACTTCAATTAAAAAAGGAAGAAGTTGGGCCGGCCCTGTGGCTTGGTGGTTAAGTGCGCGCGCTGCAATGCGGGTGGCCCGGGTTCGGATCCCGGGTGCGCATCGAGGCACCACTTCTCCGTCCATCCTGGGGCCGAGTCCCACATACAGCAACTAGAAGGATGTGCAGCTATGACATACAACTATCTACTGGGGCTTTGGGGGGAAAAAATTAAATAAATAAAATCTTTAAAAAAAAAAAAAAAAAAAAAAAAAGGAAGAAGTCAGTTTACATACCATAGAACCTTAGACAGTCTTGGGTCTGGAGGCCTCCATTATCTCTGAAGGCAGGGATACAGGATGGTGCCAAAAACCAGAATTGGATACATTTTTTAAAGGAGCAGTTTATCCTGCAGATTCCTGGCTGAACAGGGTAGGGGAAGAATCTACCCAGGCAAAGACTGGAAGCTTACTCTCTAGCACAAATGAGTAGAGGAAACAACAGAGTCAAGAGTCAAATGTTGAGGCCTCTAGTTCCCAACCCATGGTCGTTTCCCAAAGCACTGGCAGTCTTGCTTGTTTCCAAAGTGGGAGATAGGAGACATCTTCTGGGATACTGTCTTGCCTAAGAAAAAAGGCTTAGAGATATTAACGTTTGGGAGTCTCTGAATGAAGTAGATCTGCTTGATCACCCTATAGTGAAACCTATTAGTTGAAAGGCTCTGACCACCCATCCATACCATTTTCAATCAGTATTTTAGTGTCCCACAAACAGTCAAGGATCCCCAGATAATTGAGGGAAATCTTCAAAATAATAGAGATCAAAACAGGAGACAAAAGGAACCTGATAGAACAAACCCTGTGCTGGGAAACAAGGAACAACTTAAAAATTAATGTCCTCAGAGATAAGAGAAGGAATATTTCATCAATGAAACAAGAAAAGACTACAAAAAGAAAACTTTGGTAAATTAAAAATATTATAGCGGAAATTTTAAAAATTCAACAGGAATAGAAGGTAAGCTGAGAAATCTCAGAAAGTGGGATGAAGAGTCAGAGATGATAGGGTATTAGTCCATGAGGTTCAATACTGAATAATAAAATTTCAGAAAGGAAAAATAAAACAAAAGGCAGAAAGTTATCAAGAAAAGTACTACAAGGGAGAATTTCCCAGAATAGTAGAGTGTGAGTATCCAGATAAAGAAATAACCTAATACCTAGTAAAAGAGGAAAGAACTACAGGAAGTTCTTCATGAAATTCTAGAAGTCTGCAAATAAGAAGATCCTAAGAGCTTCTAGAGAAAACAGACCAGGTATAAAAGAAAGTTATCAACACCAACAGATGTAGCAGTGGAGTAATGCCTGGAAAATTCTGGGGAAAATAATTACTAACCTAGAAAATTCTGTGCCCTGCCAAACTATCAATCGAGTGTTAGAGCAGAATAAAGATATTCTCAAACACATAAAAGGTCAAAAATTCATTCTCACTCACCATTTCTCAGAATTCTACTGGAGGGATGTGTATCCTTCAGTAAATGAGAAAGTAAATGAAGGAACATGTGAGATTCAGAAAATGTTACAACTCAGGAAAAAGATAACGGGGATTATCAAGATGATGATAGAGGACAGTCCCAGAATAACAGTTGAACAGCAGGTTTTAGAAAGTTACCATTTCAGATTAGAGTAGGACAAAGGAAGAGTATTTCCAAGACAGTAGGCAACAAACTTGATGGATGAGTTGATATGTTTGAGTGTATTGAGATTTATACTTTGGTTGTAGAGTTAGCGAAATTAATGATAGATAATATAGGAAAAGAGAAAACAAAGCAGTTATTAACCCTAGGAAAAGCAAGAAATCGTACAAGGTAAGTAATCATAATTCAGTACATGGTTCATCTGTGAATAATGTTTATATAATAATATAATATTGCATATATCAAATGTTGATATATCAAAAAGAACATTAGGGTGGAGGTAGCAGAGGAGATGGGTAGGGCAGTGGTATAAGAGAAAAGTCTTATGTAGTAAAAAAAAATCATTAGAAAATATCTGAAACCAAAAAAATCAAGGTAGAGTAGTATAAGCATGTTTTTAAGAAATAAAGAGGCAAATATTAGAAGAAACAGCCACAGGATTTGATGAGTGCTTTTGGGGGGCTGAAATCAAGAGTAGGGATTTCTGTAGTTTTTCTTTATAAGCCTAGAAGTGCTCTTTGATTTCTTAGAGTTTGTACCTGCATTACTTTGATAAAAATTAAATGAAAAGGCATATCACTGCTGTCCAAAGGCAGATAGATAAGTAGAATAGATTTGTGAAATGGTCTCTAGGAAACCACAATTTAGACAAATCCACCAGCATTGAATACTTTTTGCGATTGTTATTGTAACTGCTCAGTAATTACCTGAGAATTACCCAGAAATATGTGAAATAGCTTTTGGACTAGATTTCACACTTAGCATTGACCAGAAAACGAACACTTCTTCCCATAGGGAGCATTTTGTCTAATGGTGGCTTTCTGAGATAGGCTTCCAAGGGGGAAGGTATGCTATGTGAACAGTATATACTCATCAAGTGTTGAGTGAATGAAAACGACTCAGCACCTTAGGGCATAAAAGACGTTGTAGCTACATCACAGCAATTGTGTGTCTAGCTGAAGGAAATAGTTATTTCTAAGAACGTGGCTGGGTACCTATCACACATTTTTATTCCTGGCTTCTTTAAGCAATTTAAAAAATTGATGTCATCTTTTAAATATACGTCGAAGGGTAAGAAAATAAGTTCCTGGAACTCAGTGAGCACCCCTCTCCCCACTGCTGAAATTACATTTGTTACTGCAGTTCTAGGTAGGACATGTGTGAAGGATGGATAATAGCACAAAACCAAACAGCTGTTGTATAGTAACTTAAAAGGAAATTAGTATGCTATTAAGTAGAAAGTAGGCTATTACCAACTGGACTGACAGAAGAAACCCCAAATACATATGGTCTTATAACAACAGGAGACAGGCCTCCAAGTTAGGGTGATTTATTTTGAACAAAATCAGTAGGCCCTTTGTGAGGCAGGCAAGACTGAAGATTGAAAGAACAGTTGTCATTTGCACTGTAGACTTTTTCCAGAGTTCTGAGGAGAGAGCAATGACAGTACCAGCAGCAGTTTATTGCAGACAACAAATGTATTGGTAGGTAAAGATAACTAATAACGTAGGCTTGATGGTAAAGAAAAACTAAGAGCAGCAATCTATAAAGAGATTAACACAATTTTTGTGGTTAGCAGAAACTATCCTTTATCTTCCTTAACCTGGAAGTACGTATCCATAGAAATACATTTCCAGATGGGACAGGTAAAACCAAAAAACAAGTCATAAGCAATGCAGCCAAAAACATTGCTATAACAGAAAGCTGTTTTAATAAACACTCCTACTTGTCCTAATTCTAATCATAAAGTTTGAAGAGGAAGGAAGGTACTTACTTGAAGTTGGTACCACTGGTTAAATGGTAATTTATGATTGACAAGGACTGATGGCCTCAGTTCCCTGGTCAGCTCCTACTTGAGGTGAGTTAACAGTACCTGTTTTTCAGGTCATAGTTTGAAAGGACGTAGGGAGTGCATTATTGATATTAAATAATTTGATTTCTTGTATATACTTTTTGTTACAAAAGGTAGTTTCAGTTTGCATAAGATGCCAGAAAATGTTGACTAGAATTTTAGTACTCATGCTCTGAGCATAGCCGTTTTACATATTTCACCAACTTCCTCTTTTGTGGCCTCTTACCTTGTATCTGTGGCTTAACAAGATAAGATAAAATTAGCATTTGTAAAAATTATATAAATGCAAGTACTATTATTTAAATGCAACTTTTGTACATATTGTAAGTTTCTCTTGTCAGTATGCCAGTATCAGTACTGGTTTACAACCTTCTAAAATAAAATTAAGACAAAATAACCAAGTCTTTTTGTGTCTTTGTACAGGAAATGCTAAATACAGTGAAATAGGAGGAAAGAAAAATGCAACAATAAAGATAGATAAGGTTTGTTGAAATAAAGAAAAATCTTTTTCTTAGATAATAATTTATGGTTGTTTAGTACATAACTCTAGTGCCTCAGGTATATCAAAATATTTAAATATAACTATTCCCTCCCTATTATGGAAGTTTTTTTCTTTGCTGTTTCACTAACCTCCTTTTACTTCTCTAGCCTCGAAGATCAAATCAGTGTACAAGTCAGTGCTTCAGAAATTTTTTCTCCAATATGTTTTCTTCTAATAGTCACACTGGAGAATCTTCTTTTACCTGTAGAGCTTACTGGTTAGTATTTTCTCCTTTTAATTTATGCTTTTTATATTTGATGTTTTAATTATAATTAACCTTTGGTAGAAATTTAAACCCTGGCTCAACAAACACTGTGAAAGCCCACCTTGTTTTTTGTTTTTATGGAAAGTAAACCAGTTCTAAGCAAAGAGAAAACCTGTTATTTTGTGACCCTCTCAATTATGCAATGACTGCTTATGCTAGTGGGCTTTGCTTTCATTAGTAAAATTAATAAATTAAGTTGTTCTACACAAGCTTTTTATGTGATAGAGAAATAGGCTATTTGTTAAATTGTGGGGGTGGCACCTAATAAAGCAGAACCCTTTTAGAGTAGATCCAGACATCTTTGAATCCATGGTGACTGGCGTTTAGATACTAAGTAGATATTTGTGGAATTTGAAGATTAAGTTGGAGTTTTAAAATCATGTACGAGTTGGTTGAATGAACAAGACAGATTAAGATTGTGTGATTGAATTTTAGAGCTTGGCAAGGTATCAAAGAAAACAATTACATCTAAGTAGCCTTTTGAAAGCTGAACTATACCCATTTTTGGTTACAGTAACCATACTTTCCTTTGTATTCTTTTGTCTTATGCTTAGTTTCAGATGGGAAACTGTCGTGCCTACAATTTCTGCCAGAACTGCTTGCTGCAGCTTTGGTTCATGGGATAGAGATAGTGTTGCTTTTTTCTCTCAATAACAAGGATATTAGTCTGAATTGACTTTTTAGAAATTCTGTCACTTAAGGTAGAAATTCAAGCATTATTTTTATGAATCAGATAAATATAATTTTGATTTATAATATAAAAATTTTACTTACTTTAGGAATGAGTTCATTTTGTAAGTTTTTAAATAGAAAAAAGTTCTTATTCTTTTAAATGTGATTTATAATGCTAGGTACAAAAACTTCTGCTATTCCTGGTATAACCCAGTTGTTACTCCAAACTTAAATTTTTGGAATTCTTATGAAAGTCTAAAATTTATCTTTTAGTACAGAATTTATAGAAGTCAATGAAATCAGTGCATTGATTAGGCAGAAGAGACAGGAACTGGAATTGTCATGGTTTCCTGATACATTACCTGGAATTGGAAGGTAAAAAACACTGTTTACTTAAAGTGTTTACATGCTAACATGAGCACAAGATATCATTAATACTTAACTACAGAGGTATCTTATTCAATAGTTATGTTTATAAGAAAGTTTTGTGCAAATTAAATTTTGGTTTTTCAAATGCCTAATGAAGACTGCTGTTTAAAAAACCCTTTAAAAAGTAAAGAATCCTTTATTTTTCTGTTTAATAAATGTAGATATTTGATTCATTTCAAAGGTAAAGCACCTAAATAATGAGGTTTATTATTAATAATAGCATTCAGATTTGTCATCCTTCCTCTACTCTTTCCCCCATTCCAATCTTACTTGTGTGCTGTTAGCTGAAGCACTGCTTTTATCATATTTCCCCTCTCCAAAATGTTCTTCTCAATAACTTTTTTTTTTTTTATGAGGAAGATCAGCCCTGTGCTAACATCTGCCAATCCTCCTCTTTTTTTGCTGAGGAAGACTGGCCCTGGACTAACATCTGTGCCCATCTTCCTCCACTTGATATGGGACACCGCCACAGCATGGCTTAACATTAAAGCAGTGCGTCGGTGCATGCCCGGGATCCAAACTGGCGAACCCTGGGCCAGCGCAGCGGAGCACGCGCAGTTAACTGCTTGCGCCACCGGGCCGGCCCCTCAATAACTATTTGATCAAGTCCCTACTCTGCCCTGGTATTCATAACTTTCTATAATCTAGCCCTTTCTTTCTTAGTTTAAGTCCTAAAGCTCCCAGAACATTGCTAGGTACATGATATGTACTTAAATTAAGCTCCTATGTAAAGATCAAGGTCCTTGTCTGAGTTTTATATTCATTCCTGTAACATGTTGTAAGTTTATTTTATACATCACTGTGATATAGTTCTGCATAGGGCCTTCACCCTCTAGGAATGACAATGGGACATAAATAGAAGTAAAATTAGGAAGTCCAGATATGTGTAACATGAAACCTTTTCTTAGAGTTATATATTTTTGTATATGTACAAGTTGCACATTGTTCTTCAGACTTCTCTCCTCCTACCCCAGAATCTCACCTTATACTGGATGGGATGGTCTTGTTAGGAGACCTGAACTGAACAAATATGACTCAGAGAAAGAAGCAGCTGAGAGTGGATTGGGTTTGGATGCAGAAACTTTCGAGTCTTAGCAGGTCCATAGGGACACTGGAAACTTTGAAGAGCCATCATCCTTAGGTTGAGGAATTTTAGAATATAATATAGCAATAGAAATCAGTTCTTTTTTTTCTTTTTAAAAAAGTATTTATGGGGCCGGCCCAGTGGCACAGTGGTTAAGTTTGCACGCTCCGCTTTAGCGGCCCAGGGTTCGCAGGTTTGTATCCCAGGCGCGGACCTACGCACCCATTATCAAGCCATGCTGTGGCAGGTGTCCCACATATAAAATAGAGAAAGATAGACACAGATGTTAGCCCAGGACCAATCTTCCTTAGCAAAAAGAGGAGGATTGGCAGCAGATGTTAGCTCAGGGCTAATCTTTCTCACCAAAAAAAAAAAAGTATTTTGATGTTTTTGGCCTTGATACGTGCTATAAAACAAAGAAATCTAACAAATGTGATACTATCTATGATATGCTTCAAAATTCAAGTAATAGAAGTTCTATTTCCACTTTTTGTTAAATTTTTATTTGTTCATAAATAAATAAAATTTATTGACTGATTTCCCTTTGACCTTGCTAATTTCCTTAAAACCTTGATTTGATTAATTCAACTAAATTATCTCTTTGGTTGCCTGGAAAGAGAGGGGGTACAAGGGGCATAAAGGTGCTTTCTGGGGTGGTAGAACTGTTCTATTTCTTGCTTGGGGTGGTGATTACACAGATATATATATTGGTCAAAAGTCATGAAACCATACACTTATGCAAATAAAATCTTTGCATTTTATTTGTGCATTTTATATATCTGTGCATTTTATTCTCCGGGTTAAATTTTTTAGAATGACAAAGAACAAAACCTAAAAAAATTCTTGATAAAATACTACGTTAAATTATTTAAAAGAGAAACAGCTATTATATATTAAGTTGCCCTTGATCTCCCTTTGCCATTTATCAGAAAAACATACTTTTTAAGGTTTTTTCTTTGCAGCCAATTGGAAGCCATCTTTGAACAATGAGTAACCTTGAGTGTACATTTTTAGCTGTTTGGGCAAAAAATAATTTAAGTGTGCTGTATTTTAATGTTGCTACCTGATTTGGAAAATTAATAATTTTAAATTGCTGGTTTAAATTTTTAAACTATTGGAACAAAAATGTCCTTATTTTGTTTTGAATTTTCAGAATTGATTTTCTACCCTGGAATATTGAAACAGAAGTCCTTCCTCTCATCTCTTCAATGTTGCCAAGAGCTATTTTTCCAACAAGTACCATATCTTCAGAAAATTTTGGTAAAGTTTGTGAAATGTTTTTCTAGTTTTTAAAAAATTAACTTCTTTCAATCTCATAAAAAGTGAGTGTTGATGACTTAGAAGAGCTGTAAAATAAGGTATAGATTAGTAAGTCCTAGATATTTCTGTAAATATTTGGATGGTGACTTGACTTTAAAATTGTTCCAACTAGAAAATCCCTTTTTTGAAGAAATTACAAGTCTTTGAGGAACTGATTGATTAGAAGTCTCCCTTCTGTTTAGGGCTTCAGTGTTTAATCCGTAGATCTTTTGAAGTAACATCTCCTGTTTACTATGAATAATAGTTTGTGTCTTTATCTATTTGTGGATAACTTGGTTTCTCTTGCTTTTTGCCTAGTAATACTAATTCATAAAGCAAATGGCAGTTATCAGACCAAACATATTTTCTTTTGTTTTTTTTCCCTATAAAATTGCTCACATGGATTCAAATCTTGTGATAACTCATTTCAGTAGCATTAAAAGAAGCTAATCAGGGCAGGCCCTGTGGCTTGGTGGTTAAGTGCGCGCGCTGCAATGCTGGTGGCCCGGGTTCGGATCCCGGGTGCGCATCGAGGCACCGCTTCTCCGTCCATCCTGAGGCCGAGTCCCACGTGCAGCAACTAGAAGGATGTGCAGCTATGACATACAGCTATCTACTGGGGCTTTGGGGGGAAAAAATTAAATAAATAAAATCTTTAAAAAAAAAAAAAAAAGAAGCTAATCAATACCTGATATTACTCAGATGTTAGTAGCTATGCATTTATTTATAATTTGGTTCCTAAGTATATTTGATTTCACTCTGGTCTGTTTTATGCTAAAATAAGCTGAAGCCAAACTATTATCATTTATTGAAATGTATACTTACTTTTTACTTTTTTTAAAAAATATATTACTAGGTACTTCTTGCAAGGGATATGCATTAGCACATACTCAAGAAGGAGAGGAGAAGAAACAAACTTCTGGTGCATCAAACACCAGAGGATCAAGACGAAAACCTGCAGCAACAGCTCCTACAAGGAGATCTACACGTAACACGAGAGCTGAAACAGCCAGTCAGTCTCAGAGATCCCCAGTATCTGATAATTCTGGGTGTGATGTCCCAGATAACAGCAATCCATCTGTAAGTGTTTCCTCTTCAGCTGAGTCGGAAAAGCAAACAAGACAGGCTCCAAAACGGAAGTCTATAAGAAGAGGAAGAAAACCACCTTTACTGAAAAAGAAACTTCGGAGCTCTGTACCTCCCCCTGAAAAATCATCTTCCAGTGATTCCATAGATGAAGAAACAGCAGAATCTGACACACCACCTGTGTTAGAGAAAGAGCACCAATCAGATATAGAAAGTAGTAACACTTGTACTGTGCAGATAGTAGACAGTGAGTCTGCTAATGGCTTGAGAAGTTGTAGTGAGCAAAGAGAAGAAAGTGAGGAACATACTGAGAACCATGGTACAGAAGAACGAGTGAAATCTTCATATTCTGAGTCTTGTGCCCAAGATCCTCCTGTGCTAGTTGGAGAGGAGGAGGACATTCAAAAAATTGAGAATACAGGTATAGAGGCTAATGTTTTGTGTTTAGAAAGTGAGATTTCTAAAAATATTTCTGAAAAAGGAGGTGATCCATTGGAAAATCAAGACCAAATATCTGGACCTTCAGAATCAGAGGTAAAAGCAGATATATGTACAGATCATCCTCCAAATGATCTTCTGACATGTTCAGCATCTGAAATTGAAGTACAGCAACCTGTACCAAGCCTGGGTGAGTTGCCTGAGAATGCAGAATCAGTGGTTAATGAAGAAAAAGTTATAGAGAGTCCTGTAGTAGAAAATATTGATCATGAAGATTCTACAGTAAAAACAGAGCAGCTTGTAGACAGCCCCAAAGTGGAATCTTCTGAGGGTGAAATTATACAAACAGGGGACAAAAAATCTATTGAGAGCTCAGAGGTTCAGTTGCTTGGGCATGTTGAAACTGAAGATGCAAAAATAATTGCAATGCATGATACTTCAGGGGATAAAAATTTCAATAGCATTCAAGACTCTGAAAATAATTTATTAGAAAATAATGCAAAATTAGACAAATCTTTAGAAGAAAAGACTGAATCTCTGATTGAATATCCCAGATCTACAGAATTGCCTAATATACACATTGAACAGATTGAGAAGCATTTTAGTGAGGACAATAACGAAATGATACCTATGGAATGTGATTCATTTTGCAGTGACCAGAATGAATCTGAAATTGAACCGTCTGTAAATGCTGATGCTAAACAATTGAATGAAAATTCTGTGGAGCACAGTTCTCAAAATAACATGTCATCTTCTGATCCCACAAATGAAAAGGTTGAAACTGTATCTCAACCATCTGAAAGCCCAATAGATATGATGGATAAAGCCAAAAAGCCTCGTACTCGAAAATCTAGATTTCATTCCCCATCTACAACTTGGTCTCCCAACAAAGACATTGCACGAGAAAAGAAACGGTCTCAGTCTCCGTCTCCCAAAAGAGAAACTGGAAAAGAAAGCAGGAAGTCTCGATCACCATCTCCCAAGAAAGAATCTGCAAGAGGACGGAGAAAATCTCGTTCTCAGTCCCCCAAAAAGGATATTACTAGAGAAAGGAGGGGATCTCAGTCTCGATCTCCAAAAAGAGATAGCACTAGGGAAGGCAAAAGATCTGAATCACTCTCCCCAAAAAGAGACTCTTCTAGAGAGAACAGAACATCTCAGTCAAGAGTGAAAGATTCCTCCCCAAGGGAAAAATCCAGGTCCCGGAGCAGAGAAAGAGAAAGTGATAGAGATGGGCCGAGGAGAGATCGAGATAGAGAAAGGAGAACCAGAAGGTGGTCTAGGTCCAAATCTCGTTCTAGGTCACCATCAAGATCTAGAACAAAAAGCAAGAGTTCATCATTTGGTAGAAATGACAGAGATAGTTACTCTCCTCGGTGGAAGGAAAGATGGACAAATGATGGTTGGAGATGTCCACGGGGAAATGATCGGTACAGAAAGAATGACCCTGAGAAACAGAATGAAAATACAAGGAAAGAAAAAACTGACATCAGTCCAGATGCTGATGATCCAAATTCTGCTGACAAACATAGAAATGACTGTCCCACTTGGGTAACAGAAAAAATAAATTCTGGACCTGATCCAAGGACCAGAAATCCAGAAAAGTCAAAAGATTCTCATTGGGAAGAAAATAGAAATGAAAATTCAGGGAATTCTTGGAATAAAAACTTTGGTTCAGGTTGGATGTCTAACCGTGGTAGAGGTCACCGTGGCAGAGGCACTTACAGAGGCAGTTTTGCCTATACAGATCAAAACGAAAATCGGTGGCAAAACCGAAAACCCCTCTCAGGGAATTCAAATAGTTCAGGGAATGAGTCTTTCAAGTTTGTGGAACAGCAACCCTATAAACGCAAGAGTGAGCAAGAGTTCTCATTTGATACACCGGCAGATAGATCAGGGTGGACATCTGCTTCTAGTTGGGCTGTGAGAAAGACTCTACCAGCAGATGTCCAAAACTATTATTCACGACGAGGGAGGAATTCTTCAGGTCCACAGTCCGGATGGATGAGACAAGAAGAGGAAACAACTGAACAGGGTAAGATATTCTATTTCTTTTTTAACACTGTTTTATTTGTGGAAAGAGATTTCAAATTTAATACCTTATTTGAATGAATTGAAATAATCCCTATTTATAGTTTAGTAATGTTAAATTGAATCCTAGTTGTTTACAAGTCACTTTGCATTATATAAATATATACACACATCAGTATTTATTTTTTTTCACCCCACCCCTTCCCCAAACTTTGCCAAAGATGTAAATATTTTATATACAGTTTGCTGCAGTAGAAGAATTTGGGATGTTCCTATGCAGGATTTAACTTCTTTTTCATTTGTTTCAGATGTGTGCACTTGACTTATTTTGATCATTGTTCTCATATAAATAAGTCAGTCTTCTAATAAAGATTTATCTTTCCTTGGCTTTTGTTAAGAACATTGCAAGAAAAAAACTATTGACGATAAAAAAAATTGATTAACCTTCTAATTTAGTGACCTCATTAAATTTTATATGATTATTTCTTTAGTCAGTAAGTTTCTTGAGCTACTGATTCTTTGCTAATGTTGACGGATGTTATGTGAACTTATTGTTAAAAATAAGTTTAGTTGAATGTTTTCTTTTAGTTACAAAATCAGCCACACTATTTAGAAATGACAGGATTAAACTAAATAATTGGAGATGGGTTTAGGTGTTTTGAGTCTTGTTAATTTTACTATAACCAGTGGTTCTTTACTTCTCTATCTAAAGAAATTTGTAACATGATTTTTTTCACAAGCCTTTTTTCTTTTGTTAGATTCTAACCTTAAAGACCAAACAAACCAACAAAGTGATGGTTCTCAGCTACCTATAAATATGATGCAACCACAAATGAATGTAATGCAGCAACAAATGAATGCACAACACCAGCCTATGAACATCTTCCCATATCCAGTGGGTGTTCATGCTCCTTTGATGAACATCCAACGTAATCCATTTAACATTCATCCTCAGCTACCCTTGCATCTGCACACGGGAGTGCCTCTCATGCCGGTAGCTGCTCCTACCAGTGTAACTCAGGGACTGCCACCACCACCACCCCCTCCCCCACCATCCCAAGTCAACTACATTGCTTCACAGCCAGATGGAAACCAATTGCAGGTATGTTTTTAGCAACTCAAGTTTAATCAACATGGCCATTGTAGACATTTAACTATTAGGGATAGATGTTCAAGAAAGGGCTTCTGGGGGCAGGGGTGGGTGGGAGGGGGACGAGGTTCCTGGCATCCAAAAACAATTGTTTATTTGATTAGGTTTATGGTGAACCTTCATAACCCCTCTTTCACTGTCCTTCCCTAAACCTCTCAATCCCTAAATAAGAAAATGAATTGAATGCATATTATCAAATCTAAGCTACATATATGCTGTTGCTGATATCCAGACAGATTTTTTTTGTCAGATTGAGAAGACCAAATTATGAGCCAAACTAGAATCCAATTGTGGGCACTTGAAAATTTTTCCCTGATTTGTTGGACTTTTTAGGTGATAGGAACTTGTGATAAAGTACTGTGATGAAGCTTGTATTGTCTTGTTCAGACAAATGGCAGATAAAACTGAGCCATATAGAAAATTTGAATAATAATTTGTAAACATTGTGTTGCTTATAGCCTTATGTGTACATTTCAGAAATTCTAGGATCCTGACAGGAAGATGTAATTGGAAGAGCAGGGGAATGAGATTCCAGAATTTGAGATCTTAGATCTTTTTCTCCTATCAACTCACTGCAGGCCATTTGACTTCACTGCCTCATTTTCTCCCATCTTTAAAGTGGGGGCACTTACTTTAGTTAATTTTCATAAAAAACCTTGCAGGGAAGATACTATTTTTTAAATGCTATTCTTCTTCTTGTTTTTAGTGTTGCTGTCAGAATATTACAGTGCACATATATAATTTAAATGTCATCTTGACATATTTAAATAGGGCTGTGTTTAAAAATGTTATACTCATTTTTCGTCAGAGTCTTTTAGACATGAAAGACTGACATATGCATTTCTTTCTTAAGTACTAAGGTTGAACTGCTTGGAATTTTTTAATGTTATTTCTAATAGTGACTGAAAGACTTCTGTTGAATACAAGTAATTTATTAACTGATAACTCTTTAAAACAGGGTATTCCTAGTGCTTCTCATGTAAGTAATAACATGAGTACACCAGTCTTGCCTGCTCCAACAGCAGCCCCAGGAAATATGGGAACAGTTCAGGGACCAAGTTCTGGTAATACTTCTTCATCAAGTCACAACAAAGCCTCTAATGCTGCTGTAAAATTGGCAGAAAGCAAAGTAAGTGTTACAGTGGAAGCCAGCGCAGATAGCTCGAAGACAGACAAGGCAAGTTCAAGGTTGAGAGCAACCTACATATTCTGTATATGATAAAGATGAAAAAATAACAGCTTTCTATTGTATAAGTGGTGAAGGGAATTTATTGTTGATAGTCTTAAATTCCAACATTATTTGAAGTGTTCTTTCTAGATATGTTGATGCCCAGTGAGTTACTGGTAATATTTCATAATTATTTTTAGAAATGTTTGTTATGTGTGTTAGTAAATAACTATTTTGTATTTATGACACTAATATTTGAAGTTCCTTGCAATAATGTAAATGCACAGTGTTTTTAATTTCATATTTTTAAAGAAATTTTTTGAAAGTATGTGATTGGGCAAGTAATAATTATACATTTTCCTCTTATCAGAAATTGCAAATTCAAGAAAAAGCAGCACAGGAGGTAAAATTGGCCATTAAGCCATTTTACCAAAATAAAGATATCACCAAGGAAGAATATAAAGAGATTGTACGGAAAGCAGTAGATAAAGTAAGTTATAGCTTTAGTGGAGTTATGGACATATTGTTTTGAACCATCTCTATTTTAATAAAGGAATGCTTAAGTCTAATTAAAATAATAAAAGCTAGGTTCTTGTCTGTTTTTTTATGTTTTGAATAAGTTCATATGAGATATGAAACGTGGAAATGTCTAGTTACCTCTTGGAGGTTGTTTGTTGTTCACAAAGCTTTCCATTTTGCTTTAATCTCTTTAAGTATGAAAAAAATATTTCCCCTTCTTTTTTCATAGGTTTGTCATAGTAAGAGTGGAGAAGTAAATTCTACTAAAGTGGCAAATCTGGTTAAAGCTTATGTAGACAAATACAAGTATTCACGGAAGGGAAGCCAAAAGAAAACTCTGGAAGAACCTGTTTCTACTGAAAAAAACATAGGCTGAAATGGGGAGCACCGTAAAAGACACTATCAAGATATCTGCAAAGTGCAATTTCAACATGTACCTTTAACTAAAAATCATACATAACTGTGATTGAAATTTGGTTTTGATAAAATTATTTTTTTTAATGTAGGATATAATGTTTTGTTCTAAGTAAATATAGTTCTGCACTGCAACTTCTATATCATTTCCCCCCCCCCCCCAAATGAAAGAAAATCCTAGGGAAAGTAAAGGGTTAAAGGAATGTGCGTTTTTACTACGACTGTGTTACAGTGTGGATACTGGAAGATGTACAGCTTTTTGATTTGAACAATGAAGTGCATAAATTAGCAACTTCTAAGTGCACTGGTTTGGAAGATAGATATATATATAATACATTTATTCTGTCAGGCTAAAAATAAAGTATGATCTTTATGATTTTTCTCTCTAATTATAGAAAGTTAAATAATGTATTACCATGAAAAATATTTCTAATAACAGAACATACCAATTGCAGGGTTCCTAATGTGTATTTTTAAAGCACACATCTGAATAAATTGTTTAGATAGAAAACAAATTATCACGAGTCAAATTCAGTGTTCAAAACTTTGAACACTGTTCACCTATTGTATCACCAAATAAAGGTTATGCTGCTTGTGTTTCTTTTGTGCCTTTTTTCCCCCAATTGAGATGAAGCAGTTTGATTTGCTAGGTTTACAACTTTGGCAGCCTAAACTCTTTGTTGAGGTTAGACCAGTTTGGAAAACCTGTTGACTTTGTGAAAATTAACGTTCTTTCCTAATACTTTCTACCTATCAGAGGTGTCAAATTATTTGTGCTAGCTGGAGAATTACTGTTAAGTGGTGACCCTCCCTTCCTTAGAACTAGGGTAGAATCATGAGACTCACTTCAGTGGCTCTCAGCTTGTTGCTCATCTATCTAATCACTAATGAAATTCTTTTCACTCTTGTGAAATCTCTGAATGCTTTACAGTTAATAGTGTTAATTTGGTGACCATATAATGGCCATTAACCATGTTGCAAAATTCTAGACATTAAAACCTGTGTTTTGGAAAGGGAGAAAATTAAATAATGGAGTCTTGGTCAGGCTTTCAGGGACTAGGGATTTGGTTGTTTTTTTTAAATACTAGAATATGTTAATTTTTGTAAAAGGTAAGTTAAAAATGTCATGGTGCCATTATTTTAATTGGCATCTTGGAGGAAAAAATGGATTATCTCCATGATAAACTGTGTTTCATTCCAGTAACAATTTTCAGTAGATACCAAATAACTGGAAAGCTATTCAGATAAGATGTTAATGGCTCAACGATAGATATAGGCCTCAGTGGGACAGACTGACCCTTTTACTAGCTAAACTAGCAAGAGCAATACTCTGTAGAACTGTGCTTTTCTGAAGTAAAGATTATCTGTTGCTCAATTGTATGTGCATAATACTTTCCTGGTGCTAGCTTTGATAGGCAAAATATTTTGAAATGTTGGCCCCAATAATGATTGTGCTAGTTCATAATCTTTATTAGATTATGAGTGTAATCCCAAAAAGTGTTAGAAATATTTCCAAGCAGTTTTTGATCTTTATTCTGCATTTCTGGGCATTTGTAATATGGTATTCTACTGATTTCTATATATTTTTAATTAAAGTTTGTGTTTAGATTATGATGGAGAAAGAAGTTTGGAAGTATATTTCTTCTAATAAATATTAAGAGAGTGTTTTAAATATCAATGCACACCTCATTTGTTTCAGTTTTGAACTCTAGAAACAATTGTATGAACTTCAAATCTATTTTGAATTAAAGCTAGTTACCACTTTGAAAATTTTGTAGCAAATTGCCTAAACTGATTAAGCACACAATGCATGCTTTTCCTACATTTTCTTGCAGTGACATTTGGGAGTTTGGTGACATTTTAAAATTTGCTTTATACCATTTAGTTTTGGCAAACGTTTAAAAGTTTTAAAGAAAAAAAGTGGTGTGGTCAAGAGTTAAAGTCTCACATCTTTGATTAGCAGTGCCATGAATTATTTCCACTTTTCTTGAAAATAACAAGTGTGTATTCCATATCTGGTTGGGGTACTGATTAGACTGCATTTAAAATAGCTAATGAAGAATGTTACTGGATTAGAATTCAAACTTTTGAAACTTTGAAATATTTAAGAATGTATTAGAAAGTGCATGCTTTATGTTAAAAAAAAGTTACATTGTTTTAACATTCCCCATTTTTGCTTTTTTCAGAAATTTACATTAATTTTGCATGTGCACAAACTTAAAAACATTTTGTGGGGTTACAGATTTCTCTTGTTCTTTATGAAGATTCAGTGTTAACTTGACCTTTGAAACCCCGGTCCCTTTAACTTACTAGTCACATTGACTGATGTTTTTGGGCTATAGTGATGCCTAGAATTTTGAGACTAAAAATAGTTACTTATTATTTTAACATTCCAAACATTTGATTTTTTTTTTCTGTTAATTACCACATTTTCTCCATTATCTTCCTTTAAATGGCCACAGTGTGTACTGCTCAAATGTTCCATCAACAGATGTAGCTTCAGAAGCACAGTGGTTGCCCCATGATCCATGAGACCTTGTTTGCAGTGTGAGGATGGAGTGCTGTCTACTGAAACAATACTCTTAAACAGATATGTAGTATGTAATATTTTCTAATAAATTCTTTTGATAAACAAAATAGTGTCTTTAACATTTTATTATTAGGATTCCTGGGAAATGGTGACTTTTACTTCATTATAACTCTTTCCAAACATTGAAGTATTGAAGTATTTCTTGGATTTGTACCAAAGTAACTAGCATCGTGGTTACATTAATGTCCAAGTTGTAAAGCAAGCCTAGAGTTAGCTTGGCATACAGTCACGCGTCGCTTAACAACGGATACGTTCTGAGAAATGCATCGTTAGGTGATTTCGTCGTTCTGTGAACATCACAGAGTGTACTTACACAAACCTAGATGGAAGAGCCTTCTACACTCCTGGGCTATGTGGTACTAATCTTATGGCACCACTATCATGTATGCAGTCGGTCATTGACTGAAACATGGTTAAACAGTGTGTGACTATATTTTAATAGCATTTTTTCCTCATTTACATAATCATCCTAGGAAATTAGAAAAACTTTGGTCAATAAAAAAGATCGCAAAAGGGGGAAGAAACCAAAAAACAAAAGGAGAAAAATCACCTGTAATCCTACCATTTAAAGGTAACAACTGTTGGGGCCGGCCTGGTGGCGCAAGCGGCTAAGTGCTCGCACTCTGCTGCGGCGGCCCAGGGTTCGTTGGTTCGGATCCCAGGTGCGCACCTACGCACTGCTTGGCAAGCCATGCTGTGGCGGGGTCCCATATAAAGTGGAGGAAGATGGGCACGGATGTTAGCCCAGGGCCAGTCTTCCTCAGCAGAAAGAGGAGGATTGGCAGATGTTAGCTCAGGGCCGGTCTTCCTTGCAAAAAAAAAAAAAGGTAACAACTGTTAACACTGATCACACTGCACATAACTCTGTTGTAATTTATCCTTTTCCCTTGAAGTATTGAGTTTCCATTTTAATAAAAATTATTCTACAGCATGGTTTTTAAATGGCTATATAGTGTTCCAATACATGGATGTACCATTACTTAGTTCTCTACTGTTGGGTATTTAGTTGTTTTTACTACTATAAATAAGTAAATTAGTAAAATATAAGTTGTACTAATGTAAGGCTGACGTAAATATCTATACATAAATTGTACCCATTTCAGATTGTTTTGGGGAGTTAATTCCAAGAAGTAGAATATCTTGGTCAATCAGTTTTTATTTCCCCATAATAAATTTTTAAATGTAATTATATACACACACTTGATATATGTTTTTTTAATTTAATTTAGTGTAAAACTCCATCATTTTCCTAAAGTGATTTTTCCATCCGGAGAGAACCATCAGAAAGTTCTGTTGATCTTTCCAAACTCTTCAGTGTCTTTACAAAAATGCTTTTTAAGTTTCCAGGAAAATAGTAGGTTTCACAGATCCTTTTACCCAGCACATGAATTATATTCTGTAAACCTGTCTTGTATCTCTAGTCCCCTTAATACATTGAAGATGTATTCTGATGTCCATGTTCCATTTTATAATAGCTATATTGTGTTCCTCCGTTGACTGACATTTAAGTTATGTGCAAGTTATGGCTATTAGAAACTTAATGAAAACCCTTTGTGACTTATCTCTGTGAACTTCTCTTTTTGTATACAAGGTTACGTTGAATTTCAGGATATGCACGTTTTTTATTTAGATAGATACTGCCAAATTGCTCTCTGAAAGGAGTATACTAATTTATAGTCCCACCACAGTTCCTGAACTTATAGTTTACCTTACCTTTAATTCCACCTTTGATATTGTGATTGAGCATATAAAATTCTTCTGGTTTATAAGGTTTTAATGAACATTAATTTCATTAAACAATGCACACCTACTATGTGTCAAGAATCTTGGATTCTTCACATATTATCAGGTTTGATCATACCACAGTCTTCTAAAAGAATAGTACAGTAATATCATATTAAGCTGGGAATATGTGCCAGGCATTTTATGTGTTACCTCTTTTGATCTATAAAACCAATTCTAATAATTATCTTTGTTCTGATGAGAAAATTGAGATGCATAAAGCATTAACTGAGTTACATATTTACACAGCCACTTAGTTGATAGAGCCAGGATTCAGATCTAGAGTTGGTAGATGCCAAAAGTCATTGCTTGACTGGGGTGTTACATTGAGCTCAGAGATGCAAACTAACATTTGCATAATACATGGGAGTAATGGCTGAAGTAAAAAGTGAGTATAGTGAGAGCATGGAAGAGGACACAAATGACTTTGCATGTGGGGAAGAAGGGTTGAGGAGGGATATTTATCCTGTGTCTAATTAGGCCTCTTCATTTTTGCCTTTTTAATAGCACTCCCGTGTTTCCTATGTTGGAGGTATTAAACTAATCTCGAAGCTATCGTTCATGAATTTGTCACTCTTCTCACCCCATCTCCATGCTCTCAAAACAACTGCTGTCCTCTGTATCAAGTCTTTGCAATAAAATCTAAATTCTTTAGTTCCCAGCAGTTACCATCTGACCTCTTTTAATAGTCTCAAATTATTATTTAGATTCTATACACACCAGTTCATTTTAGACACTGCAGACTAATCCTTCAATAGCGACAGCGTTGGTCATATTATTCTACATCATTTATTCAATGTATAGCGCCAGCCTGTGTGTGTTACCACACAGGGAAGAGTGAGCAAAACAATAATGTTCCTGCCCTCATGGAGCTATATAATATGGTGGAAAAAACCAGCTATCTGTTTATATAACTGATGCAGGCTACAGCGGGGAGGACTACAAGGTGTTCCACGAAGCCATAATAGAATAATAGGACCTAAGAGTGGTCAGTGGGAGTCCCTGGGAGAGGTGACATGAGCTAGAAGATGACTAAGAACTAGGCAAAGAGAAAAGAGCTAGCAGAGGGAATAGCAGGTGCAAAAGGTCTGAGGCCAGAAAGCATGGCAACTCGAAGCCTAGAATGGCCGGAATGAAGATTAGTGGAGAGTTTTTAAGGCTATATATTATGCAAAGAAAAGCTTTTGAAGCTTTTAAGCAAGAGGTGTTTGACACGATCAGGTA